CCATGTTCTCTCTGGCACTCCCCTCCCAGGACTTCCCTGTTTTCACTGACATCCCTTTAATCACATTTGGTCTTTCTAGTGACCAGGCCCCATCCTGAAGCTATCTAGGAGCCCCACCCTGAGTCACTCCATTAGCATAAACTCAGCTGTGGTGGAAAGGGACTCATTATGAATAACAAAAGACAGTCCTACCACTCAGGAAATTTCAAGGATTTTAGGAGCTCTGTGCCAAGAACCAGGGACAAAGTCAAATTATGTTTTCTATTATACCAAAGTTCCTAGAAGGCAAAAGTGCCTAGGGCCACAAAAGTCATAATGTGATCCTGTCAATTAAATAGCTTTCCCAGCAGTCCAGTTGTGAAATTATGGCAGCTTGGGGTAGGGTGATGGCAGTCGAGATCCAGTGAAATGGACAGGCTTGGGATATGTTTAAGAGGCAGAGGACTGGCTGATGGATTGGACGAGAGAGGTGAATGAAAGAGAGGAACCAAGGATGATTTCCAGATTTTTGGCTTGAACAACTGGATGAATGATGGTACCATCCACTGGGAACACTGGGAAAGGAGCAGGATTGGGGGGAAATCAAGGCTGTCTTTGACACGATGAGTTTGAGATGACTATGAGTCATGAAGTAGAGATATTAAGTAGCCATTGGATTTGTGAATCTGAGTTGTGGTGGAGATAGATGTCTGGGCTGGATGGAAATTTGAAAGTCATCAGTTTATAGACTTAAAGTCAAGGAGTTGGATGAAATCACCTGGGGAGAATAAAATAGAGAATAGGGTAAGGACTGAGCCCTGGAGCACTGAAACATTTAAAAACTGAGCCAAAGAGGAGAAATCAGCAAAGGATTTTGAAAAGGAGGCCCAGCGAGGGGACAGGAAAATCAGGACAGTGAGATGTTGAGGGAAGTTCAGGGAAAAAAGTGTTTTAAGAGAAAGGATGCTTGTCAGTTCTGCTGAGAGTTTAGTTTAGATAATAGAGAATTGGCAATTGGCTTTGGAAACATGGAGATCAACAGTAATCTTGATAAGTGATCAAGAGGGACGTCATAGCATCAGAGTAGGCTGAGAAGTGAATGAAGTGAGGAAGGGAACAAGCACTGTAGAGAGATCTTGAAAAACCTTTCTGAGAATTTATGCAGTGAAGAGGGCAGAGAGATAGGGAGTTCTGGAGGCGATTTTGAAGTCAAGGGAGGTTTGTTTTAGATGGGAGGAATTACAGTATGTTTATATACTGATAGGAGTAATCTAATAGAGAAGGGAGAAAGCAATGATGCTGGATGGTGAGGTAATTGTAGGAGTAAAATCCTTAGGAATGTGGGAGGCAAAGGAATCCAGGTCACTGGTGGAGGGACTGACCTTCACAGGCACAAGGACACTTCATTCATAGTAACTCAAATGTTACTACGCCAATAAGAGTAGTTTTGACGGTGAGAAGATAAGGGAGTTCATGTTGTCTGTTATATTTTAATTTTTTCCATGAGATATGAGGCAAAGTTGAGGAGCAAAAAGTGGGGTTGGAGAGGAGATAGGAGGCTTTTAGTAGAGAGGAAAAGGTGTCAAATAATTCTTTCATCACGTCTACTTAAATGTCAATTTAGAGGCGAAAGCTCTCTCAGGATTAAGTACATCTCCTCCCAGCCCCTTTTTCTCTCACTGGACGGTTCATGCTTTTCTGGTACTCATCACCCTTTGTAACTGTATCTTTATAGGTTCGCATGTCTGTTCCCCCATTACAGAACTACAGGAGGGCAAGGACTTGGTTGTATTTAATTTCCCAATGTATATATAGCCCTTAGAAACAGGGCCGGTACAAAGTCACTAAATAATTGCTTGAAACAAAGAAATTAATGAATGAAAGTTTTCAGAATTTTGTCTTAGGCCACTCCTGTTAAGTACTTGCTTGTGCAAGTCACTTTTCCTCTCTGAGCTTTATTCCTGAATATATACCACGGGAACAGTAGTCTCTTCCCTGCCTACCTCACCGCGTTGTCATGAGGAGGATCTGAGCTAATAAACCTGGAAATACTTCATCAAGTGATTCTTAAATGTAACGGATTGTTATTTTTAGCCCACGTGTAGCCTCGCAGGTAGCAGGTGCTGAAAAGGACTTGCTGATTGGGGGAGGGCGTATTATTGTTCCCTGTGCCTGCGGAGGGGCGGGGCTCAGGCCAGCAGCCCTCCCGCTCCGGCCTTTCCCTGGAGGCGCTAGCCGGGCGAGGATGGGGGGCGGGGAGGCCTAGGAGGGAGTAACTGTCAAATCTCTCCGCTTGGCGCCATTATTTAAATAGTACGTGTCCGTGTCGCAGCTGTACGTGCCCAGGGCGGGGCTCCGAGCGCCCGGAGCGAGGCGGAGGCCGGGGGCGGGCCGAGGAGGCGGAGGGGCGAGAGGGGACGGGCCGGGGCGGGGCCAGGCTGGCTAGAGGGGCGGGTCTAGCGGCGGCCCCCGGCGAGGTTCACTGCGCTTGCGCTGACAGACGCAAGATGGCGGACAGTGCGGAACTAAAGGTAAAGCGCAGCTCGAATTCACTTCTAATATTCGGCCGCGGAGACGGCGCCGCTGGTGCCGAGGGGGATGGGTCCGACCCTGGGGGGCCGCTCGGGCTTGACTCCATCCAGGCCTGGAGTTGTAGGGCGGAGCGGCGCGCCCGGCCCCAGCTGAGGGGGCCCGGCAGCGGCGGGCCGCGGGCCCCGGGTGCCTCGGGGGCGCTGACGGGTCGTCCCCGGCGTGTTATTGTTGTGGGCGCCTCTGGCGGGGGAGGCGGGGGAAGAGATCGCCAGTGGGGAGGTGGGGGCCGCGGCCGCCCCCGGGGCTCGGCGTGCTCACCTTCCAGGCAGCCTCCCCGCCCCCCCATGGGGAGCGGGGGCTAGGGCAGGGTGTTCGTGTCGGGGGGATTGGGAAAGCTCCCCGCCGCCGCTTCCTCTTCCTCCTTTGCAGTCCCGGGCTCCTGTCAGGCGCTCGGCTCAGACCCCCGGGAACTTGGCTCCGGCCGCCCCGCCCCTCCGTGGCTCCCTGCGGCCCCCGCCCCGGACTCGGCTCTCCCGGCTGCCTGCCTGTCAGGAGGCGCCCGGGGTGCCCCGCTTGTGCGCAGCGCGATCCTGGGGCGATGGGGTGGGGATGTGGAGAGAAGCTCCGGGAAAGTTTAGTGAGCCTCGGGCCGGCGTTGGGGTTCGGCTGAGGGGTAGCGGGGGGGTGTGCCTGGGCGGGACGTTACTATTTCTCTCTGATTCTTGGTAACCGGGGGGCAGAAACCCCCTCGAAGGGTGTGCGTTGGGAAGCAGTGGTGGGTGGTGGGAAGCACCTACCTCTCTCCTCTTTTCCTTCTCTTCCTTTGGCTGGTGCGGAGGGTAAGAGGAGCCTTTCGGGGTCTCTGCACACACCATGATGGCGATGCTGTAGCTGATGGAGGTGAATGGTTCGTGTTTATATCCCCCCGTTGCCTTTTGTTTGTGGGGACATCTTGCTGGCCATGTTGATTTGAACGAAATTCTCCCGTCATCCTACTTCAACCCCCAATAAATAGAACGTTCCTCCGTTCCTCTCAACTGTGCCAATTACTCACGCCTCGCGAAATTGGATGAAAGGGTGCCCCCTTTTCCCCGCTCATCCTCCCGCCCCAATCTTCTTTACCTGATGATGGCTTCTTTACCGAAGCAGATATACCACTACACAAGCAGTTGGGGGAGGAGGGTGGAACCCTTGTGATTGGATTGTGACAAATGGGGCTCCGCTTGAATAATTTTGGTTTAGTAGCAAGCAGTTTTTAACTAACGCGTATTATTTCGAGGCTCTGAACGCGATATTCCCTACTCTGTGGCTTCCTGTGTGTGATCCAAGCAGCTGGTTGTGTCCTGACCCAGAGAGCTGACATCTCTGTCAGAGTGGAGATTGGGATATACAGTTGTAAATCTTCGGGGAGAGTCCTCTTTTTATAATTAATAAAAATTGTGTAAAAAATTTTCTCCGTTATAATGAAGCGACAACTTCTAGAATAACCAAACGCCAGGTTTGTTTCTGGAGAGTTTTTCTGTGGAAAGCGTCGCTGAAAGATCGTTTTCCCCCAGTAATTTTGCAATGTTAACACTCCACAATTTGTATATTAAGGCGCTGGCTTTGAGTGTCGTTCTTTTTAAATTTACTGCTAATTACAAATAAATTTAAGGGAGAGCAGATTTAGGATGGTTGGTTTCGTTTTTTCCTGTTTCAAACTAGTGACCGAAGTGAAAAAGCCTCAAGAATTTGAATATTGGCAGGTAATTAACTCTTGAAATAAAAAAGTCCACAACTTCAAGATACATGTTTTCTATAGTTTTATTCTTGAAATGTAGTCCCTATGTGGCTGTAATCTTTGCCTTCTAATATTTATTTTGTTAGGCATCCTTTTGAATGATAGCTAATCAGTTCTGTTATACGGGGACCACAGAGTAAAGCTGAAAAGCTTGTGCTGGCTATATTGTCACTCTTGATGCTGTCCAAAGAAACTGATGTGGAAAGCACATGCTGGGAGATTTCTTCCTTTGTTCTTTCTCATTTTAAGAAAGTGCCTTTAGGGATAGATAGATCCCTCGTGTGAGTCTTGTTAGGTAAAGTTTCTGTTTGCTAAAATGAGCCTGTATCAGATAAACGCTAAGAACTTGGGGGAAAGATTATTTTTCTAAAATTGGTCTCCTTTTTTGCTCTTTCCAAAATCTACTTGAGTTTTTCCAGAGGAGTTGTTTTCTACTTTTATGTTCCTGTTGTACATTTTTTTCAAATTATAATAACTGTTTTGACATTCAGGTCTGTCATTGTGTGTGCCCAGTACTTTGAGGAGGTGTGATAAATTGCTTAGCTGGTGATAGCTGTGTTAAAATTTTGTTAATACTTGATTGTGGTTAGATTTCTTTTTTTTGGAGTGGGGAGATCATCTTAGGAACCCCTACCTTAGTTATTTGAGAATGTGTGTATATAATTTTCTGTGCAGTAAGCTTTGGAAGATACTGCTTTTGGAAATTGTATTTTCTGGTGGTTTTTTGTTTGTGGTTTTTGGAGGTAAATAGCGTTTATTCCTAATAAGGTAGGAAAAGAGTAAGAATTAAGAAAAACCCAGATTTTTTAAAGTTTTAGGTGAAAATACGGTACTTCCAATGAATTTCTAACTATGAGGCTTTGAATAAATACATTGACTTTTTTGGTATCTTAATTCACAATCCATGTTTCATTTTGCTGTGGATTGTATTCATAATTATTTTCCTCATGGTCCATTTTTGAGTCCTTGTAAATCTATAACAAATCTGCAAAGATCAGATGGGAAAATGGATAGATCTGTATCTCCTGTAGTATTAGTGCAAGCTGCAACACTTAAAGATATTGCCAATAAAAATTAGATTATGAGTCATGCATATCAAAAAGAGTTCTCGGTGTATATTTGTTTATATACCCATAAATGACATTTGTAAGAATGTAGAGAGTGAACTTTTTGTTATCTTTAGGAATTTAAAAGCAGGAGGGTGTGATGACCAGATGATCTTGGAAGTTAATAATCTGACAGCTTCATGTAGCTCCTCTTAAAGTACTTTTTAAAAAAAAATCACAAATGTTTTTTGCTTTAAAACTCAAAGCAAGTTGTATTGCCATTTTAACTCACAGGAGGAAGAGTGGGAAGGAAGAAGTTCTTCATTTCAGTGGAGCAAATAATGGATTTCAATGGGAAGAGAAACCGCTTAAAAGTATAATTTTAAAAGTATCTATAAGCGTGTCAGTAAATTCTGTTGTCATATTCTGCCTCTTTATTTTCAAGAAATAGCCACTTAATTTTGCTCTTTGTGATGTCATTGTTTGCTTTTATTTCAGATAGAAGCAAGTAAATCGGACAATTTATTCACAAATTTGATTTGAATCTCCATAACTTGCTTTTGTCAAGTGCCACATTTAGATGGCTTTTGTTTTAAGTCACCATTCTTATGAACAGTATTTGAAAACATTGTATAAAACACTTAGTTTTTAAGCATTTCATATAATTGTTTGGAAATTCCGCCTTTTCCTCCGCCGTTTTCTCTGGCTGATTGTATTGTCTTTCTCTTCAAAGAGTCTCTTGTAATCCCTGTTGATTGCGGTAGTGCTGAGTGGTGAGGCCATAGCTGATTAACCTTGGGTTTCTCCTGGTGAACTCCATCAGCATGCTGCTCCAGGGTTCTTGCTGAGAGTTTTGAGTTCAGTGTAATTTGTGCCCTTTCTTGCTGGTAACTAGGGATAAGAAAATAAAATGGCTCGTGGTTGTAGGGGGAACTGAGAGAAGTATCTCAAGTTTCTGAAAAACTGGGTGTTTATGATGAATGTAGCCTTTAAAAACAAACAAAACTCCTGATTACTTCATAGGATTGATTGTAGTGTTTTCTGAAGTATTCTGAAGTATTCTGTGGCATTAAGCACCTTGTTATTTCTTTTTTTAATATTTGAGTAATATTTATACAGTACTTGACAGTTCATAGTCTATCACATTATCTCATTTGGTCTTCCTAACAGTTCTTTGAGGTATAAAAGGCAGGTAATATCTCCCTTTTTGTCCATAAAGTGAGCCCAGAAAGGGTAAGTGACTTGTCCAAGGTCATACAAATAAAAGTGGCAGAGACTTAAACCTAGGTCTTGTGATTTCAAAACTTTGTACTGTAGGCTGCCTTAAAGGTGCCATGTCAGTCCTGGAGCTCTGTAGGGTGCCTTGCTCACAAAGAATTCTAGTTATGTTGTTGCTAATACTTTCCCTCTTGCTCTATGCCAGGGTATTTTTGGATATTCCTTGGGCTTTTTGCAAGGAAGATTTTGGAGTTTGTTAGTTGGAATCCTAGACATTAATTCATGCAAATATCATTTTGCTTGGGAAGATTTCAGAGAATACTGAGAAGTAAGCAGAAAAATAAACAGCACCTGTAATCCCAGCATTTAGAAATCTCATGGTTAACATCTGGGTGTCTGTCCATTTAGACTTTCTCTCTGTGAGCATACGTGTATGTATGTTCATCACAAAAAGGGATCATACTACTCTTTATTTGTGATCTGCTATTTTCTTGGCTGCCTTTCCAGGTAGTAAATATAGGTCTATATGATCATTTGAAAGGTAACATTGTATTTTATTCAACTAGTCTCTTGTCATTGAACAACTAGATGATTTCCACTTTTTTGCTATTTTAAACAGTTTCTTGACAAACAGCCTGATACAAAAGTTAGCAAATGTTTTATTCTAACTAAATATATTGATATGACAGAACTTTTTTTGTGCTTCAGAGAGCAATACAAATGGTATTTTGATTACATGAAGTGTTGTGAGTGAAATAAGTTAATTCTTTATTTCTTCATTGTCTATACCTTTATTGTTTCAGTTTCTATAAACCTGTCAGATAAGATTATTGAATTATGGCAGAGATAGATTTTATAAAATGTAAGTAAACATTGCTTCTGAATCAGAACATTTGATAAAGTATGAAATAGATTATGGAATAACATGTATAATTTATATTGAGTATGTTTGATT